AAATTACAAAATTGCTATTTTTGAAATTTGGCCACGTGGCGCAGAAATAGGAGGTCTTTAGACCGAGCCAACCATAGGATTATCCTACATTAACATATATCTTACTGATGACGAGTTAATATTAATATAGTATATAGTATATAATAGGATTATCCTACGCGGGTTATGAGAAATGTAGATAATAATTGTAATTTTCAAGGTCAAACGTGACCCAGAAATTCTTTATATTAATATTAATATGTTTTAAAGGCCCAATGTGAGTTTCAATTAGTGCGAATAATATGAATAGTACGAGTACGATTACTTTACATTTAAACTCTAACAGGTGAAAAGGTTTTATTGTCTATTCTGCATTGTTTAAATATTTAAATAAAACAAATAAAATGCCATAGAGAATTTCATAGGCAAATTACATATTTTTGGATGTGGTGTAAAAATGGACATTCTCACTAATTGAATGCCTATGACCTCTAATATGATTATCCGGGATCCTGCCGAACATTTACCTCTTTTATCTCAAATAGCATTTGAATATATATGGTTGCCAATTTCTTCTTGTAGTGTACAACGAAGTTTTTCTAAATATAATTGACAAAATTTATCTGAAGAATCTTTACGAAGTTTAAATATGCTTTATTTTAATGGTAGTAATTTAGGACTTCTATTTGTAATATTTTTTAAATAAGAAAAAATAACAAATTAAAAACTAATTTAATGGTCGCGTAACTATTCTTTCTGATTGCACACCACCAATCGTTTAACTACGGATTCGTTTTTTTTTTTTTTTGAAAAAATCATAAAACCGCGATATTATAACGAAAATTACGCAGAATATAGTAATAGTAATAGTGATTTTTAATGTTTTAGTCGGACGGAATTAGTGTTTCATCACCGCAGAAAAAATCATTGTATAGTGCAGGACATCTATAACGGTCAATGATTATCACATGATTTTAAAAGCTTATAACTCCTTATTAAAAAAATTAAAAAAAAAAATAAACCGATAAAATTAAAGCTAAAGACCTAAGCTTCATTTCCATCGGTTTACTTTTTCATTTTATTAGAAAAGTTTTGAGTTATAAGGCTTGAAAGTTAGAACATTTTATATATGTCTATATGTAAATTGTAAAATTTCGGAATGATATTCCCTTGTGGTTTCCTAAAAGGTTGATGATCGGCTTAAAAATTTTCCGTGATACAGACAATCTTTCCAATAAAAGGAATATGATTACTTAAATTAGAAAGATCTTCTAAAATTTTAAGTTTCGGACTATTGACCATTATAGATGTCCTGCACTGTACTGGGCAGTGTGTGAAATTGATTACGGGCGCGTGTGTTACATAAAAAATGCGCGCATTTTGTTGATCACCATCAAAAAATTTTTGTGTTGATTTTAACAATAATTGTTGATTGAAATAAAATAAAATAATACCTGAAAACATCAATAAAAGTATGTTTGTTAATAATAATAAATTAAATATTAATTAATATATGTATATATTTTTTTTTACATGAATTTTCTCCACAAATCCTGCTAATAGATTATTGGCTACGCACTGGATATAGGTGACAAGTATAATTCCCGAGGATAATCCTATCGGAAAATGCCCGCATTAGGTGGTGGTATGAAGAATCTATGTTTCAAATTTGGCGAGGATACATACGTAGCTGCACAAAGTGTATAAATTGGGAGTTTTTTTTTTCATATTAATATAAAGTTTCAATGTTTACCACCAAAATTTTAATGATAATTGACTCCCTGAAAATGACTAACGTTCTGCAACTGATTAATATTAATAATATGTAAATTACCAAAAATCCTCCTCATCGCCCTTATACAATGGGTCTAAAGGATTTCTGATCATCATAAGATAATTTTATTATTTTTGTTTCGTAATATAATTAATAAAATAAAAAAATACTCTTCCCTCTTTTTTTTTTACAAATTTTTTTTTTAAGAATGTATTATATCAATTGTATATAAAAATTTTATTTAATTCATCTTCCTAATTGATATATATTCGTGTATGATATTTAATAAAGACCTCTCCTCTCATTATTAGGAAGAAAATAGATTTTATTCAACTCTTTCATTAGTATAACTCTCTTCATCATCACCTTCATTCTCGTCATTAATATTATGTGATTTTTGAATTTTTTTGGTGAATAATTCTTTCTCTAACTTTTTCAACTCCTTCATAAGTCTACGATATTCTTTCGATAACGATCTTAATTCATCTTCAGCCTCTTCATAAAGTTTTTCTTTGGATTCTTTATCAAGACCTGGATCTTTAAAATTGAACCTAGCAATATTTATTCGTGCCTTTTCACTCAAATTTTCAATAGGTATTTGTGGAGTTAATATACTTGTTGAGTAATGATGATAATGGTGATTTTGGTCTTCATCAAACAATTCTAAATTATCATGAAATTATTAATAAATTTATTATTTTATTATTATTTGTTCATCAATAATATTATTTATATATATATACCTTCAATTGTAACATCAGAATATGTTTCAGTTTTAGTATCTTCATCCATCAAATCAATTTCCGAAACATATCGCAATTTATGAGATTTTGGTGCGCTAGAATTGCTGGATTTGTGACGAATACTAGTAGCCTTTTCAGATTCAGAATATAGTGAAATATTACTATGTCTTCTTTTCAAATATTTATGATTATTACGTTCTTGTTTTTGATGATTATGTGGGTTCACCATTGAAACTAAATCATCATCTTCATAATCATCATAACCAACATCGCCACCATCGCCATCATCATTAGAGTTATAATCTAACTCTTTATTATTATTTGATTTATTAGTATTTACAGAATATGATGAAGATGATGACGATGGTTTTGAGAAAATATGTTTGCCTTTATTATTTGAAAAAGTGCGTGATGATTCTTTGTTTTTATTGTTAGAATGGTGTAAACTTGATGATCTTGTAGAGAGTCTTGATTTTGATGAGTGGAGATTGTGACCACTGTTGTTAAAGTTTGCTTTTTTTTTATTTGATCGAATTGATGATGATAGAGGTGGAATATCTGAAAAAACTTTAATCTGTGTGCTATCTTTGTTTATATATCTTCTAGTAGCTGTTTTGGATGCTGCAAATGATCTACTTATTGACCTGTTACTTGTAGTAATGGTAGTAATTCTGTGATTAGTCTCTGACTGTTCATTATCTTTTGATCTTCCTAGTGGATTTTTCCAATAATCCCATTTGAAACCTTTAAATGGTTCTCCATTATTTTGTATACATTTGAGAGCTCTAAAGACTCCAATATGCTCAAGGAATCCTGCTTTTTTTACAAAAGTCAAGTAGGGTTCATTATCCAATTTGAAGTGTTTTAATCCTTTGCATTCTACCACAGAACTTTTAAAAAAAAATAGATTATTAATTGGAAATATATTTAACATATATAAAAATATGAATGAATTTTGCACATACTATGTCATATCCTCAAAATATTTTACAAGGAAATTGCCTTCAAGTAACAATTGATCGAGATCACAATTAAAATCCATACTCTCATCCAGTTCATCATTCGGAACAATCTAAAGTAGAAACAGTTAATAATTTTATGATTCCAATAATTCATTTATTTCATTCAATAAAAAACTTACCATTGCAGGCCACCAAAAACTAGCATTTTTATCCAAAGGGTCAACTATATAAATATAAAAACATTATGTATGTGAGCATCTATTATTCTAAATATCTAAATATATATCTGGACAATAATATTTATATCTTTTTTTAAAAAAGGTTACCAAAAACGATATCTCTTCCTTTAAAATCTTGCCCTGATGATTCTTTACCATTTAATGTGTCTTTTGATTTACGTGTTGATTTCCTAGAAGGTCTACTAGGTTGAATAATGAATCTTTTTGTCGCCTTTGTTGAACTCCTTGTAATTTTTTTAAATGCTTCTGTATTATTTTTAGAGGATTTAGTTTATTTCAGTCAAACCCAATACATAAAAATTTAAAAAAATTTACATAATTAATATGCATGTATATATATATATATATATATTACCCTCTTCTTCTTCCTCCACCGCCTGTACTTCTTCTACCTCTTCCTCATCTTCATCTTTTCCTTTTTCTTCATTAGATTTAAAATCATAACGAGTTTTAGATTGAGAATTATTGTGAGAATTAAATTTTCGTTTATTTGCATATTTTTTTTCCTCTTCCACTTCCACTTCATTCTCTTCAAGAATATATTTGGCAGACTTGGACTTCACACAAGATCTATTACGAGAATTGGATTTTCGTTTTTTTACATAATTTTTTTCTTCCAAATCTTTTTGTTCCTCATCATCTGATTCATTTTCCTCTCCATCGTTAGCTTTATACCTTTCAAAAATATCAGATTGAAATATATTACGAGATCTGGATTTTTGTTCATTTATATGTTTTTTCCTTTCATCATTTTCATTTTCATCATTTTCCTCGTCAATACCTTCTTGTATATCATTTAATTGATCATTACTTCTATCATCATGTTGATCATCTTGAAAATCGATTTTTAAATTTTTTAATGGTAATATAATACTGCCAGAATTAATAGTGCTAGAATTATTGATAATAATAACATTATCAATCTCATCCAAAACGACTTCTTTATCCGATTCTATTAATGATTGTTCAATGATATTTGATGAATCGTCTTCATCTTCATCTTCATCAAGATTTTTATTTTTATTATCATGGAGAAGAAGATTATGAAGACGATGGTGTACTCTGTTGTCAAGTTCCTCATCTCCAAATTCAATTATTTCAAAATTTTTGTTTTTATTGTTATTTTTATTAATTTTTTCATTTGATTTGGAGATTTTTTTACTTCGTAACCTAATTAATAATTAACAAAATAATATAAACATTTAAGTATTTAGATATTTTTTATATAATTAGTCGGATGTAGTTGGGGGAAAAATAGCTTTAATTCAATTTAGTTTTTATTAATTGAAAAAGTTTTTTTTAATCGAAAAAATTATTACTTTGTCTTTTCTTCGGAGGTGATCGATTCTTGTGAGTTATCGGATTCCTCGGGATGTAGTTGAATAGGTGATATAGAGGCACTCGTGTGAAAGAATTCACGTCGAAGACGTTCGTTTGTGCAATACCACAATTTATTAGTACCGTTCTTTTGAATTTTTATGACCATTAAGAAATTGAGTTAATAATTAGTAAAAAAAAGATGAAAATTTTAATTAAAGGTATATATAAAATAAAATTAATATAAAAATTAAAACGTACCGAAGAAGACGTCACAGTGGTCATGAGTATACTCGAAGAGAAGAAATTCTTTATATATTTAAATTATTAAATTATTAATATTACTATTACTATTCAATAAAAGAAAAATGTATATAGATTTATATATTATGTATGATATTTGAAAATACCTTTCTTTTAAAAATTTTTCTGAAAGAAAAAAAACTATTGTTTGAGAAAAGAAAAGTTGGAAAAAAAAAATGATCCTAGCTTTTCAATATTTATATTACTGGGTGATGGAAAACATGATTGGTCGTCGGTTTGATTTTTTGTACTACTGTATGAATTTTAATTTGGAACGGTCTATCTGGACATTCGTTTTATCACTTGTGACAGCATCGATAGTCGATCTTTTTTTATGTTGTGAAACTTGCTATTTTTATAGAAAAAGTCGCGTGACTGCGCACAAAACCCATTTTATGGGAAGGGAAAAAATCATATTATTGATACATCGCTTTATATTTTGGTAAAACTTGATCAAATTGATTTCAATAGGTTACCTTTGAAATAAAAGTTTAAGGCTTCTGTGATCTTGTACGTCAGACTTTGACATTATTATTTTTTTTTTTTTTAAATATGAATGATGGGTAACATTTTGCTTTATCAATAAGTATTATTATACTTGCAGGTAAAACTTATTTTATATATACTCTCATTATACTTTAAAGAAATTGGCATTTATTTTTACATGTTTGATTAACTTATAACTTATTTTCAACTTTTTCTAATAATACAAAGATCATATCTTGATTTTTTTTACAATGCATTTAAAAATGAGGAGAATTTTTAAACAGCAATAATGGGATATACTCAGGTTATAATTATAAAGTGATGTATACAATTTAAAAATATATTTAAAATATATTTCTTTTATATTTATATTATATTCAAATTCAAATTCATATTCATATTCATATTTACACCACTGATTTATATTTATTTATAGGAAAATGACATATATATACAGTATTATATAATGGATGATAATTCATGATCCCACTAGTAATGAAGATAAAACATTGATTTGATGAATTCAATGAAGAGTAAATAATATATTAGAATGTATAATGAAAAACCAAGTCCATGTATTAAAAAAACCCAGATAAAGAAATATTATATTAATATTTTTACTTATTTTACTTATCATATTACTTTTCTATTTTTTACAAATTGTCCAAATAAATCTGATTTTTAGTAAATTCGTGATAATAAACAGTCAATGAAATCAAATTTCCACTATGATAATGTGTATATATGTCCTTGCATCAACTTGAAATTCACTTGATTCTATTTGAAATTAAATTTCCTTCGATTATATAAATAATTTTAATTTTTGCGTGATATCTAGAAGGGAGATCGTCACAAAATTTAGCCAATGAAATCAAATGTCCATTGTGCTGACCATTAGGGACGTTAAATGGTTGAGTCGATTCGGTTTGGTTTAAAACCCGTGTCGAACCGGTTGAACCATGGTGTGTCGATCATATACTTAAATCTGTTTGGTCAATTTTAACAACCCATGGTTGATCATACACCAAATATGATTGGTTAATTTTAACAACCGCGATTTTTTAAGAAATTTTTTATTTTTGACATGACAAAAAAAAAATCAAAAAATTAAAAACCAGATCAATTACTTATAATAAATTCATTGATTACAAATTCAGGAAAATAATTATCATTATAATATTAATATAGGACCGGGAAAACTCTATTGAATGTGACCGCCAACACTATGATTCGAAAGTACTTTAAAAAAAAAAATGTGACCGCCTCACTATAGATTCGATTAATGGAAAATGGAAAAGGTAACCGCCTTTATATAATTCGAAGGAAAAAATGTCCTCGGTTACACTGAATTCGCAAAATGTCATCGGTTACACTATAATTCGCATTATTAATAAAAAAAAAAAGAAAATTCAAACTAAAAATAGTAAAAGAATTCCTTATGATTCACGCCAACGACATTTTACTACATACCCTAACTTTCAAGAATTTGTCAATGCTAAAAAGTTATTTGCAAATGTGGTCAAATTATTTCACTTGGAATCAATTATCAAGTTGCAAACTTTAAAAGACATTCCGAGAGTAATAATTGTAATTTTTTAATAAATAATCAACCTAGTGTCAAAGCATTCTTTACAAAAAGTAACCATGAAGAACATATCATTGATGATAATAATATAGATCAAAATCTACATATATGCAAGGGTCTTTGTGACTTGGAGTATATTGATTATGTTATAAATAGTCCAGCTAATTTTAGAGGTGGTAAAAAACCTGAAATAATTGCAAAGCAACTTTTTCCTCTTTTTCTCGAAGAAAACTTTCTAAATCTGAACTACAAGAGTTTAAAAGAGCATTAAAAGCTGAAGCTACTTGGCGTTTGGAATTTTTAATTAATAAAGATAAATTTCATATGTCCTTGGCTGATTTCGATTCGCATTATTAATAATTTTTTAAATGTGTTCGGAAAATTGATTCGCATAATTATAAAAAACTAAGATTCGCATTAATATGATTTGCCATTTAATTTGGCGGCCACATACTATAGAGTTTTCCCGGTCCTATTAATATAGAAAACTTAATTGACGATCTGTATGAATCGGTGAACTCTACATAAGGATCTGCGGAGGAAAAAATGTCTCAAATTTTGCTAATTGACGACTTTGTATAAAAAAATGGTACTATACTTTTGTACTTTAAAATGGTTTTTTTTATTTTGCGTTATGAAACTAATGCCAAAGAACATATTTGTGTATTTTTTTTTCAAGAATATCGAAAAAAAAGTGTTTACTCTTGGGAATGTAGAGATGAGTGAAATTTTTCATGTGAAAAATTTTTTATGTTTGTGTGACTGTTTTTTAATTATTATTCCAACTCTATCACTATTACTATTCTATTCATAATTGAATGATTGATAAACAAATAAATAAAAAAATTTTTTCTCAATATTTATGAATTGATTGTTTATTAGATTATTATAATAATATAGAAGCATTGTTTTAATTAATTAGAGCTTGAAATTTCAGCTGCTTGTTTTTTGTGATGTTGATTAAATCTAGATATTATTTTTTAAAACTTCAAACTATTTCAAAACTCTGAATTATTTTCAAAAATTTGAAACTCCGATACTGTTTTTTAAAAAACTCTTTTAAAATTTCAAATCTCCAAAACTTAAAAAAGAAAAATAACAGATACCATGAGTAATTAATGTAAGAAAGAGTCAATGAAATCTTTTTCAAAAACACTGAAAAAAAAAAATAAAAAAATATATCATGTGACGGGGGGATATGGTGGAGGATTTTCTATAAGATATTTCCTCACTGATTCATAGACGGATCGTCAATTAAAAAGTTTTGATTCTAAAAAAATGCTTAAATTTGATTGGTTATTATGCAAATCAGATCGACAAACCAAGGTTTTAAGTTATGGTTCAACTGATCAGTTCCCATGGTTTGCTTAGTTTATCCTCAACCATAGTTGAGTCAACTGTTTAATATCCCTAGTGACCATTCAGGTTTGGTTTAAAAAAAAATTACACTAGTTTTGTATAAAATGTATAAATGCTAATATGGACATTTTAATTTTAATAAAACTTTACTGATATATACAATGCTTCCTTCACTTCATCTCACACGGGACTAATTATTCTCTGAATATTTCTTAACTGATTCTCTAAACAATCCTTAATAGTTTTCTTGTAATTAATCATCACAGTTAATATGATTATATAATTTAAAACAAAAAAAAATAATAATTGGAATAGTGTTACTATTAAGGTTGTGAGCTAAACCTCCTTAGTAATTGCTGAAACCACAGCAAAACTATATTAAATCTTATCAAAAATTCTGTTGAAACTATGCCAAAATGGCAAAACCTCAAAATGCAAAACTCTGCCAAAACTTAATAAACAATTAATGTGTGACCTGCTGATTGATTTCTGGAGGAGCTTCAACAAGCAACCTTAGTTACTATATAATATTATTATCTTTAGGGCATACAAAATATCACAATTTCTTACAGAAAAGGCATCAATTAAATTTTGAGATGTGATTGTGATTATTCCACATTCAATTTCCATCTAGAGTAATATTCTGAATGTACAGGATAGGAAAACTCTGTTCTATATAAGTTCCTGATCATATTAACACGAATCTCAAAAGTTGACTTATTCTATTTAGGAAATGATTTATAAAACCTAACCAAAAATGTCTTAGTGGTTCCATGTGAATTTTAAAGTACTTTTAAATCAAAGAGTTTTCCTAGTCTTGTACTATTGTCACTGATTAAATTTGGGAGAGCGTATTTTTAATTGGTGATAACAATTATTTTTGTTTTTGTGTGGATCAGAATGAATAGGGGATCAACAAATTGATTTTGGTATTAGCAAATAATTTTGGTTAAAGATAAAAGTTTTATTTAAATAAAATATTTCTATTTTATTTATTTAGTTTTATTTAGTTGAAACTAATTAACAAAGTTTTCCTTGGTTGAAACTGATTTATTAACTTATTACCAAGTTAATTTTTATTATGAAACTTTAAGATAAAGTTATTTTACAAGCAAGTCGAATTTGAGCTTCTTTTATACAATTAAATTAATTAGTAACAACTTCATTGCAATCTAACATTCTAGCTGCAATAACACACTTTAATTGTGATGTAACATTCTAACTGCTACACTAATTTCTAAATAAAGTCAACTAATTTTGATGTTATATGAATAAAAATAAAAATGTAATACAAATAAAAAAATAATAAAAATGTAAATAAACATGAATAAAAATAAAATAAGAAATAAAATATAAGGAATAAATAAATTTAGATATAAAAATAAAGTACATAAAATAAAAATAGAAATAAAAGATTTGGTTCGGAATTAGGGTATTTTGACTAACAAATTAGCATTAAATCTTAATTCTGGTAACACTATCATAATCAGGGTTGGAATTGGAATAAAGACATTTGCCATAAATGACTGGGCTGGTAGCTATCATTGCCATAAATAGCTGTTGGTAGCCATAAATAATACAGCTGCCACAAATAGCTATAGTTTTTAAGATTAATATAATTATTGTCATTAGTATTATTAGTCATATTAGTCATGAGAAAATTTCTTGAATTACTTGTGATCTACAGTATACATGCTGTCCAAATCCAAAATCATCCTGTCTCCCAACCAATTGGGGAGTCTCAAGTCAATTTTGAAAATCACAATTTTAAGAAAGACCCCCTTAAAGTTGCAGATTTTTTTAAGTTCAATATATTATGCAAACAGTTTTCTTGACATATCTCAAAATTTTATTAAGTATGGGTATATTTCTAAGATAAAAAGATTCACTGACACAAATTATATATTATTATATCATTATCTCAAAATGACAAAAAAAAAAAAAAAAGATTCATTTTCGCTTGAGACTCCCCAATTTAGGTTGCTTGTCAAATAGGGATGTTAAATGGTTGAGTCAGTTCGGTTCGGTTTAAAAACCGTGTTTTAAAACCGCGGTTTGTCGATCATATACTAAGATCTGATTGGCCAATTTTAATATCCGTTGTTGATCACATACTTTAAATATGAGTGGTTAATTTTAAACAACGATTTTTAATATAATATACATATACATGCAATACTTTTACTGTAAGCTTTGATAATTCTTTTGCAATTAAATTATGATGATTTTCAAATATTTGATAAATTTGATTTTGTAAAGATTGACATGTTGGTAAGATATACCATGAATCAAAGATATTGCATAATTTTTTAAACCAAAAATTTCCTATAACTGAAAATGGCATTTGGAACCCAACAATAAAATTAATAACAGCATCTGTACATTCTTTTATTCTTTTATTATCATTTTCTTTATATGGTTTTTGTAATTGATTTGTTGTAGAAAGAATATTACTATGTTCTTTTGTTAAATGATCCATAAGTGGTTGTGTTGATGATTTTTTTGCACAATTTTTTTCACATAAACTACAAATAATTCCTATAACTTCATTTTGACTATTATATTTTTATACATAAAATTCCAAACCGCAGATGTTGTTTTACTTTTATTACTTAGATATATTTTCCATTGCAAATATTATTAGTTGAAGATAGACTTTCAAATATTTGTTATATTATCTAAAATAAAGTCATTGTCGTCATTGTCATCATTGTTTTCTTGTTCTGTTAATTTCAAACTCAGGAAGATAATTATTGTTGTTGTCAGAAAAATCATTGTCATTAGATATTATATGTAAAGAATTACTTCAACATTTTCTTACAAATATTTTAATTGTAGTAAAAATATTATTTATTCTATTTATAAACAGACAGATAATCTCATCTATCCAAATGTTTCTAAACTTGATAGTAAAAATAAATAAATAATTTGTTTGACTATAATGTTTAGACTATTTCTTATTTATTTTATTTAAAATCGTTACATTTATCATGATTAAAATTTAATTGGTTATTTATGTAAATCAGATCGACAAACCGTGGTTCAACCATGGTTCAACCATATTGGTTCAACCACAGTTGGTTTGGTTCAGCCTCAACCACGGTTCAACCATGGTTGAGTCAGCTGTTTAACATCCCTATTGTCAAAACCTGCTGAAACTTAGAGATGCGATCTGTGGATGGTCAATCCGGATATCTGCAAAACAATCTGGATGGATGGATGGCTTTTTTAAAGTGCTAACAGATTGCGGATTGAAATTTTAGAAATTATAGGATACCTGGATGATCCATGTAAATAAAATATCATGTGAATAAAAAAATTTTTTATGTACTAGTACAAATAATAATGTAACATCAAAAAAAATAATTTTAAAATATATAATACTTTTTATCATCTTTATCTAATTCATTTTTTGATGCTGTTGCTTCTTTACTAGTTTGTAAGATTACTTACAATGAATAATGATAATAATGAATATAATTACAATGGCAATGATAATGGTAATGATAATGAGAGTGAACTTACCTATATAGATTTGGAAGAAGAGTTGGATGGAAATGTATTAAATGTAATTTCTAATGAACAGACTAAAATTACTAAACACAAACTAAAAAAGGTACCATTAAAAAAAAGTTGGGTGTGGAATTGGTTTGCAGAAATAAATTTACCTAGTGGTAAAAAAGGTTCAGAATGCCAAGCACCAATTACAACTGAAAAGACTTGTAAAAAACATTATGTAACAGATGGATCCACAGGAAATTTAATTAAACAAATTTTGTTTTTAAAAGAAATGCAAGTTGTGTTGAATGTATTCACCCACCGAATTAACTTTATAATAAATATAAATGAATTGTCATAAATTATTGGCATTACTACTCTTTTTATAACATTTTATACTAATATTGCTGAATTATCTGTTCAAACCATGGATGATCTGTACAATCTGGATGATCCATTCAATTTCATGGATAATTTGGATGATCTGTTTGAATCTGACAGATGTATTTTTTGAGCAATTAACAGATGATGGATTGATTTTTTGAGTTAAATATAAATGACAGATGAACAGATGATGGATATCTGCGGATCACATCTCTACTGAAACTCTGCCAAAACTCTAATAAACAATTAAAGTGTAACATGCCAAAACTTTGCCAATTAATTTCCAGAAGAGTTTTGGCAAGCAACCATACAACCAATAAGTGCCTAGGATTTGTGGAAGTGATCTGCAACCAATTTGTTACCCCAGATGCTTATTGGTTAGGAAAGCAGGGGTAGGAATATTGATTTACACTTGATGATCCTTACAAAACATGTGACAATAAAAAATTTTATCACATTTTTGATTGTAAATTTTTCCTCAAAAACTGATGCTATGGCACAGAAAGTTGTAGGGACTAAGTGTCTTGCACTATTAAGGTTGCTTGCTGAAACCTCTTAATGACTGCTGAAACTCTGCTGATTTGATTTCTGGCATGCAACCATGTGTACTATACATTTGGGATATACAAAGTAATTTGGGATTTGGGATTCTTGATTTAATTTGGGAAGCACCTATAATCTGCAGTAACTAAATTTTTTGAATTGTAATCGATGAACTCAATTGGTTGGTCATTCATTTACAGTGAAATTATATGCAAAAATAAAATTTGCAATTATTTGCAACAGTTATAATTATCTGTGACAGCCATGATTATTTATAATGATAACTACCCTGTGATAGTTACCATTGCCACAAATAACCAATTACAGCAAGTGTCTTTACATTGGACAGTGTTCAATACACCTATGAACATGCTGGACAAGTTAGACATGCTTAATACATATTCAATGCCAGTGTCCAACTGACAACTGTTGAATAATGTTTACCATGTCCAATACCAACTCTGATCATAATGGGCTTTTCCTTTCCAGTGATCACAATCATCATATTTCATCATTGCTTGCCAAAACTCCTCCAGAAATCAATTGACTAATTGTTTATTAGAGTTTTGGCAGAGTTTTGGCAAGGTACACACTAATTGTTTATCAGAGTTTTGGCAGCCACTAAGAAATTTTGGCAAGCAACCTTAATCATGTGTTAACCACTTGATTTAATAAGTGTAACATAAGATGGTTGTGATGATGATTGTAATCACTAGGCTTTTCAATATCACATGTTTCAAGAAGTTCAAGAGTTTCTTTTGGATTCTAGTTATCTATATTCATATTTCCATTGTAAATATTAGAGTTCTCAGGTTGAGACAACCTGTGTGGCCACAGGTTATGATCTGTTTGGGTCAGGTTGAGTCATAAATTTAATTTACCCATAGGTCATAGGTTGACACTATACATGAAGTCGAAATGTTTCAACTTGAGGCAACTACATAGTAAAAATCAGTTTCAACCTTATTTCAACCCTATTTCGACCAGATCTGCAAATGGTCAAAATAGTTTTGACTTCATGTATATTTGACACAGGTCAAGTGTTATATAACCCTTATCTTATGCTGAATGCCATACATAGCTCTTGTTTATATTACTATATATGATTCAAATTTTCAAGTAAATTTCCTTTAAGTATATTTTAAAAATGTTCATTTATTTAAATTTATTTTAATATTGGATCCAAGAATATTATGAGAAATAAGGATGCAAAATAGATTGATATTGCCAAAAAATACTGATAAACACAATGAATGTTATTATAATGCTGATTCATTATACAGTCTAATATATTATTTGCTTTTAACTTTTCATCCTGCTATTTTAATGATAGAACATCTTTATTGGGATTTATATGTTCATTAAATAAATCCTCTAATGTTGAAAAACTAGTTGAAATTTTGGGAGTTTTCAATTACCATATAATTATTTAATTAGAATGATAATGATAGATGGACATTTTATTGTTATTAATATAAGCAATGATTTAGCAGTGGTTTCTTCCAGCTGAGCATATTTCCTAACTAGGGATGTTAAATTGCTTGTCAGTCAGTACAGCTCAATCCAGTTTTAGAATTCAAGCAGATTGAACTTTTTAAAAAACAGGCTTTTGAACAATCAAATTTGAAATAATATAGTTTAAACTTGCTGATCCTTAAAATCCCATCCCACACACCCATACCATCTAATCCTATGATAGGATTAGACAGTATGGGTGCGTGGGATAGGATTTTAAGGATTTGAGTATGGGCTAAAGATTGGAACCATAATTAGCCATAATTCAATTTTCATATGCTACAACTGCAACTGCAATTCAATTTTTATATGCTGCAATTAGTTACATTAGTTGAGGAGCCATCTTTAATCCTATCCCACCCAATCCCAATCCTATATCCCATTTAAAAAATTTTATCATTTATAAAAAAATCATAAAAGAGAAATAAAAAAAATCTTTTTTTTTTAAGATTTGAAATAATAGATAGTAATAATGATAACAATTTTTTATTTATTAATAATATGATAATGATAATAATGGTTGCATAACAGTTCCTGATTGTAAACCACTAGATCATTTACCATAGATCTATTTTATTTGTAATGTTGTTAATATTAACCAGTTAAAAAAATATTTAACCAGTTAACGGTGCCAACCTCTACCAAGGGGCTCCATCAACTGACACAAACTAATATAATATTCAACAAATTAAACTTGGTCAAAACTGACCTTTGCTTGATTTATCTTTTCAATATAATTTAAGATTGTTATTCCACAATTTAAAGTTCTACATTGATGAGGAATTTCGCCAATATAATAAATTTCATTTTTAAAAGAGATTCCATAAAATTCAAATGATTATTAATCTTGGAATTTGAGCTTTATAATATAAAAAAATCTAGTTTTACAACGATTATATTAATACAATATGCGATATCAAAAAAATCGTGAAATTTTCTTGCAATTTTATTGGTTGATAATTGATCAACAATGTTCGAATAGCTGAAAATTCGCGTATTTGATCATATAATCATCAAAAAGGATCTAAATTTTTTTTCCAATATGAATGATAAAATATTTGATTTAGTTGAAGAAGAATTAAAGAGTTTAAAAACTAAATTCAATGCTTTTGAACAAAACTTTGAAAATATTAAAAGCATTTCGGATTCTTTAAATGAATTCAACAGTTTTTTTGCTTCTTTTCTATATGGAATGAAAATGAATACTCACTGCATTGAATTTCCCGAGGTAAATTATATATACGTTTATATATACATGCGTATATGAGTTGATTAGCTTATCAATTATATACTATTTTATAATTAAATAATTAATAAGGCATCGGAGGGTCACTTATCTAATAGAAATACACAATAATAATAACAGTAGACATCGATCGAATTAAATTCTTGGAAATTTTGTTAATTTTTTATTTTCTAAAATAAAAAAAATAATGTTTTAATTAACCAGGTTCAAAATAAGCTGATTGTGTAAATAAAATAACTATTCCTTATATGAGGCTAATAATCCCAGTAAGGCTGGCATATTTAAAACATAATATCAACTCTTAAGTGGGTGGGTCGAACCTGAAAAATGAAATATTTTAGTTTTCAAAAAAAAACCCCCGATTTTATTCTTTTTTTAAATATAATACTCTTTGATTCATTACATATGCTCATTCTTGTTTGTAAAATAAATAATATAAAATAGTAAAAATAATATACATTTAAGAAAATTTTTATTATAACCATTGCATCCATATCACCTAATAATCACAAATTAAAATCAATGATGTTTACCAACATTTAGTTATATGTTTTAATAATATCAATGGTAAATTACCTCCATATTTGCCAAATATTGTGGATTGCTTGCCATTGCTATTAAATTTGTAATTGGACTATATATTGACTTGTTGCCATTCTGTTGCTAAAATTAAATAAGGAGAATATTGAAATCATTTATTATAAACTGTCAATTATAGCCTATCAATGGCAATGCATCAAAAGAATTAATCAATTACCTTATCATGATTATTATTGTCAACATTTCCTATCATCTTTGCTTTATTAACAATTTGATCAACTGTTTCTAAAATTTTTTGTCTAAGTAGATGTTCATTAGTGTGTTTTTGACTTATATAATGCCAAGTGATCAACTCATCTCTAATAAAAATACTCAAGTATTGGCCTAAATCAAACTAAATATACAAATTATGTTAACCTCCCAAAAAGAATTTTTAAATGAAAGTAATTGCTTAAATAAAGTACTTTAAATACCTCCGGTTCAGTCAAGCATCGACCAATAGCCAGCATTGCTAATAAAAAATAATAATAATATAAAGATTAAATTAATTGAAAGTGACTGATAAAAATAGCACAAAAATATTATGATTTTAACAATTTAACATACCTGAGGAAAAAATTCCTTCTAAACCAATTGGTGTAATAAATTGTTGTATACTGCGAGTTAATCGGAAAGGAACAGATTCCTGGTTTTGAAGCATTGGAACACCTTGTGCAAAACCTAATAAAAGAAATTTCAAAGTTAGGTGAAACGAATTGCATATTTCAAATAAAATATATAATAATATATAACTTACTTGGAATCAATTCACTTGACCAAATATTGCCGGTGTTTCGAGATATCAAAAATTTATGTGGATGTCTCTGACCAACACACATAATATATGTCATAAAAGATACAGCAGCCATTTGTGAAGTAAAATGTTTTCTAAATGACCAAAGTTCCTCGTGTGATTTGATGGTTTTGGCAAAGTACTAAATTAAGATAATCATCAATAATCATTTTATTTACGAAATATTCAATAAATTAGATATAAATAATATTATACCTTTATTAAAACATCACTTGGTATATACTTTGATTGAATGTTTCTTGCAATCTCAACTTTGAGATTAATGGCGTCTTTTCTCTATGTTAATGGATTCAATTAACACAAATATTTTTATAAATCTACAATTGAACCAATCAATAATCTTTATAAAATTTTCCTACCGTTGATGTACGGCTTATATTGGATCTCATTTTATTAATAAAATAAATAACGGGTTCATCTTTTGATATTCTGATATTATCACAATGATCTTCATAAATATCTTGTAATGAACAATATGATGGATCATCCTGTACTATTCTAACTTGTGGAGCAAATGGAATTATTAGAGGGAGATGGAATGAAATATTTCGCTTGCGACTTTCTTTGCGATGTTCAAGTACACTTGAATAATAAAAATAACAAATGGTAATAATATATTGTTTTTAATAAGAAAAAATTTATTTTATAATTTTCTAAAGAAAGAAATAATTACCTGTTTAGAATTCTGAAAAGTTGCAACATTCGTTCTTCACGCCGACTATGCCTTGCTGATGGATACTGAACTGCAAATGGATGAAGACTACCATCATGTCCTCGTATAGTAAGCCTTCGATAACAAAAACCATGAGATCGAATTATTTCAATTTCTGACATAAAACGATCAATACGAACAAAATCCGAATTATTGTTATCTTTGAGCTAAATACATATATATACATATACATGTAATCATAAAAATCATCAATTAAATACCACGTTTAAAATTATTTTTAACAACTAATATAAAAGCCTACCAATAAATACTGTCCAGGGATTTCCACTTCTTCAAATTTCTGATGTTGAAATTCAACCAAGTAGGCACTAAAATATTCTAGATGTAGCTTGCGTGGTTTACTATCCAATATTACTTCAAATTTGTCTCTCCATCTACGAAGATTTTCAACATATTGCATGAAATTTGGCTTTCTTTTAATGAAATCTTCTTCAAAGGCAGTCTACAAAAATAATTTATGTATATAAATGAATCAATAAATTAAACAAAATTGTCTTAAATTCAAATGATCTTAATATATTAAACCTTTATCGGACCAGCACTTAGATTATCAGCAAATCTTTTGACATTCATTTCTGTTGTTTGTGTAAGTGATCCAATATCATGATTTTGAGTCAATCTATTTGTTATTTGCTATTCACGGGCCAATAAATTAGACTTCTTAAACTTATAAAATATTCTTAAGAAAATATATAACAAATAAAATTAATAAAATAATACCTGTAAACCATCATTTAAAAGTGCAACAATCAATCTATAAATGTCTTCATCTGAGTTTGGCTTAAGACGTTGTTGAATTTGATCAACCATGGTTTCCATTGTCAAAGCCAGTAAAGGAAACGATGTTTTTAAAGTAGACATTATATCTTCAACATGTTCCCATGGTTGTTTCACTATGGGTTGAGTTTGCGGTGTAGTTGGAATATTTGTCAAGACATGATGATGAATTGGACTCATTCCAGGTGTTTGTGCAATAGGTGACCTTCCTGGTTCAACAGTTGTTGGTAAATGACCTTGCATATTACTTGAAGAATTAGTAGCATTAGGCAAAGAATTAGTGTTTTGTATATTTTGTGCTGGAATATTATTGGAAGGAGTCGACATATTTAGAATGGTTGCTCCTTGTATAGCAGGACTTTGAGGCTGAGAAGACATTGGGTTTGACTGATTGAAATTAACCCCATGAGTATTGATTTGAACAGGGCTTCCTCTATTAGAGTTACTTTGTCCAACATTTTGTGGAGCTGGTCGTTGTACATTTCCCATGTTTGTAATATTAGAACCTACCTGTGATGTTGAAGAAATTATAGGGGTTGCTGATTGTGTTGTTGATGTTCCTGGATTATTGGCAATAGATGATGATAATTGTACTGCACGAGCATGCGTTTGAGCAATGGCTACTTGTTTTTTCACCAGCAAATATTCTTCTCTTGCTGTTCTTAATTGAAAATGTAACGCCTTTTAACAAAAAAAAAAAAAGAGAAAGAATCTATCATTAATAGCTAAATAATTATTTAGTTAAAAGTCAAAAAATGTATAATTGCCTGAGGATATTGTTTAGCAATTTTCATAAGGATACTGCGAGCATGTTTCGCCTCTTTATGCATAAGGCATATGATAAGTTGTGGTATAAAGGTTATCCAATACCATACAGGAACTTCAGTTTTATTGAAAAATGTTTCAAAAACAATCGACATTGTTCCTTGTGAATCATCAAGAGATAATAACCATAAGATACGAATTACTAGCTTTCTAGATTTAGCTGAATTATAAAGACTTGCAGCTTGTAAATAACAAGTTAATGCATATATGGCAAAGATAATTTCATTAGGTTTTTCCTTATATTTGCGATCATTGTAATAGCCCCATGCAGCCCAAGCCTTTGGAAGGCGCATATCATTTGTCACGGCCGTGGAAAATAATTCATTGGCTTCTGAGTCCCGGTTGGATTTAAGATAAATCATTCCTTGTAAAGTATGAAACTCTGCCTTTTGTTGTGAGCTGAAAAAGTGCAAATTTGTATTAATTATAACGTCTAGAGCTTGGTTTATTTCATTATTTTGATAATGACATTTTGCTTGTTCTCTCAGTTTCAAAAATGCTTCTTGAATCTCAATGTTTGGCAAAGTATAAATCTTTTGCAGAAATTCTGTACAAACATCATAAAGTTGATGCTTTCTTGCAACATGTGCAAATCGGTTGATAATCCATGCAGTTTCATGATGTCCACGATGATTAGAATTTATTTGTAAATTTTGAAACTGTTCAAATGATTTACTAATGACATTAAAAATGTGTTTTCTAAAAGCAACAATGTCACTCCAAATGTTAATATCATCCCACATGTTTGGTAATCTTTCTCTCCAACTCGAAAGGACATTTCTAATTTCATTTTGATTATCTAAACTTTGAATATAATTTGATAAATTGGAGAATATTTTAGTTGCTTCGTCAAATTCCACCATAAGTTGAAATGAATGCAATAACGATATATGACTTTCTGACACGATTTTTGGAAGTGTGCACCATTTCTGTAGTGTTAATTGATTTGCTTCTCTGATAAGCTTTTTATATTCATCAAAATTATTAGTATGACTTGACCTCATTAAAGCTACAAACGATTCAAACATTTTATACTGTGGACTTTTGGATAATTCAAATGATGATAAATAAGAAATTTGTTCACTTAATTCTTTTTCATTTGCCCAATCTGCTAAATGAAATGCACAATCTAACAATAAATCTTTACTATTTTCATTCTTTGCTAAATCATAAAGAATATTCCATTGTTGCAGTTTTTTTGCGGATGATATCCAGCGGTCTTCCCATAATATGCTTTCTGATTCAGAACATGCTGATCCTGAAATTTTTGATTTATGTAATGCATTTTCATACTCTATCTGAGCTTGTAACAAATTTCCACTTTGTTCATATGAAATAGCAATATTGGTATCAAGATATTTACAATGTCTCTTCCATAAACCATAATACATGTCATCCTCTGATAAACTGGAATAAAGATCAGCTAAAGCGTCTATAGTAAGTTCTTTGTATTTCTCATCATTTTTATCCCTTTCAGATGATGCATTTTGCAAAATTGCCATTGCGATATGCCAAGCCCCATGTAATTTACCAAGATATTTGATTAAATGTGGTGGCAATTTCAAAACAGGTGAACAATGTGATATTCCATCTAATAATGCTTGTATACAATTTGGTTGAGAATTTTTTTGAACCTCATGATAATCTTCTGACAAAAGCTTTACTAATTTATTGGTTAAATCTTGTCTTTCTTTATTATTTATATTTGACCAACAAATTGGGAAAAGATGTACCCATAAATTATATGCTATTTTATTATCTAATTGATGAAGTTGTTTTAAAGGTGATAATATATCTCCAACACGTAACTTTTTAACTTCAAATAAAAATTCCCTGTGTTTTTGCAAAAAATCCTCAAATTCTTGATCAGTGTTTTCTAAAGAATCAGAAAAAGATGATAAATCACCCAGTGTTGCAATCGACTTGATTTGTATATTATGTGTCATTTGAATATTTTTTTTATGAGAAATAGCGCCAATTAAAAGATCTAAAGCCTGATGTATCCAAAAATAATCACTAATAAATTCCCAGTTTTGCTCACCAAGAATATAATAGAGCCGTGGTGATAAAGCTTTTGACAAACTATGATCAAAGATCTCCATAAATTGATTACGAATTTTAGAATTATTATAGCAAGTTCCCATTAAAAATGCCTTTTCCAATCTAACTGTCAATTCACTCCTTGAAAATAAAGGATCATTATATATCTTAATAGCAAATTCTAATAAATTTTCAATCAAACTCCTATCATCCAATTTTTCATAGCACAACATACTAATCAGTAATTTTGCCTTTTCTTCCATAGTAGGTAATGGTTCTTTGCATAATATCCATTGTTTCACCATGTTAAAAATAGTCTTTGCTAGCTCAATATTTTTTGAATTTTCAATTAATTGTGAAAGAAATGTTATAAAACTTTGTCTCATTTCATTGAGTTCTTCAATTCTTAAATTGGCCAAATTTAATGCAATTATAAGTACATCGACATTAGTGTCTGAGGATTGTTGATTGGTCACCAATTTATTGTTGCTATTCATAGGACTCGTTTCTTGCGGATTTGTTTCTTGTGGAATTATTCCATTTGTAAGTGTTTGTATAGAATTAATTATTCCAGTTAGAAAAGGATCAATACTTTTTGGTATAGTGCAACTGGCAGCTTTTAGCAACATCATTGCTTGATATAAATTATTTGAATTTTGAATAGATTCTTGTATTGTGTTATTAACTAACTGAATAAAAGATTCTATTTCTGCACCTGGTGTAAAAACATTTGCTGTGGGCTCGATAGATGAGTTGGTATTAGTAGTTGTACTAGTAGTCGTTGTTGTTGTAGTTGATGCAGATGTATTATTTGTAATATTTGTTTTAATTGTAGCAGTTGTAGTTTGTTCAGATTGTTGAGCTGAATCTTCTTCAACAGAAGGCGGAGTTATAGCATTATATATGTGAATTAAAACGGGATTAAGACATTTTTGAATACGCATAATGTTGCTTGTAATACTACGTTCAAGTAATGGTTGTAGATGGATTAAATTTGTAAGACAATATTCTGAAGATTTCTTTTCCAAAATAACATTTAAAGCTTCCAAGTTATTACAAATACAATCTATATTATTGCCGCCAAATTCATTAAATTTCAATGCACGTTCAAAGGGATTCAATTTCACATTAACTTCAGGCCAGAAATCAGGTTGCAAAAATTCCTTAATTAGATCAAGAGCCCTGTGTGTTAATATATTTTTACTAATAGGATCATTGGAAGCACACACAAATTTGATAAGATAATTGACAACATTTTCACGCAAATAATTATTGGGAATGTATTTTGAATTGCATTCAGACAAATTTTTTGATTCTGAAAATCCATATTCTAGAATTTGTCGTTTTCTTGGTGAAAACTCAGTTTCAGACTCCAAACGTCGTTTTCCAGGACTTGCAATAGGGGTAGATGCCGCACTGCTACTGTTTTGTTCATTGGTACTATTTTCATTGAGACGACAGCGTTCCCATTTGAGAATCAGCTCAGAAAGATCTATCGTTAATAGTCTAGTTTCAGATGTTGCATTTTGCAGTAAACCTAATCTGGTTAATGTGTTAGCAATTTGTGGCATAAAATGCTCTCTGTATTCATAAAATAAGTCAGGGTGCCTAACAAGCAATTGATATACATTAATTAGTTGAGTCAAACCATATCCGTCTTCCAAAAGAATTCTTTTTGTATATACAATCCAATTCGGCGGTGGTTTCTTTTTTGAATCTTTCTTGGATTCATCAAATGACTGTGACTGAGGTGAAATAAATTTCGGTGCAAGCATATCCAATGCTTGTTTTACCAACGCCCTTGCCTCTACTTGATGAGCCTTTAAGAGTGCTGTATAAGATTGAAATAGCATTCTTAAACTGACCTGATCAAATTCTGCAAAACATGCAGCTAAAAACACAAACGCTGAATGTTTTGCTGTGATATCATCAACTCTTGACCAATTCCATCCAAATTTAATAAGTGAACTACGTGTAGTTATGAGGTTTGGTACACTTTTAACAATAACTGTTGAAAATTGAAGAACTTCTATGCGTAAAGAATCTTCTATTTCATCATGATTATCCGCCAGATAATGCCATAGAGATTGAATTTTGTCCATTTGAGTAGTGTCAATGATTTTTTCATGCTCTTGATCAATATTAGATATAAGTGAGCTCGAGTTGCTTGACTCGCAGTGTTTAGCAAAATCATATAATAACATTGGTGTGACTATAATCTTTAATGATAGTGTTTTAATGCTAGGTAAAATATTTGGATCAGAAAATGTGTCAAGAAACTTGTTGAGAATTGCTCGCTTTTGTTCAACTGGATACTTTTTGGCAACTTCTTCATGATAAAATTTTTTTAAAAACGTATAATCAATAATATTTTTGTTGGAGAAAATAGAAACAAATTCAAAGAGCAAATCAATGTCTTCTGGTTTTTCTTTTAAATAAATACAAAAAATCTCTATTAAATATTTAGATTCGTGTATTTGTTTCAAATTTAAGCTGCTTTCATTTTTTAATCTATCCGTGCGACCTTGATCCCTCCAAGCTTCTTTTAAAAATTTCAGAACAGGAGTTGATGAAGGTTCTGATAGCCATTTATGATCAAACTTGGTAATCTGTCGAATGATCAAAATTGCTTTGACTAAAGTATCAACATGATTGCTTACGTCTGAATGGTGAATGCTTGAAATCTTTTCAATCAGTGTTACTGGGTTATTTTTTATCTCTTCTCTAAGTTTTGGTGCTTCCTCAGTACCCAATACATTAATGAATAATTGACTATACTTATCATTCTTAATATTATTATAAAAATACTCTACAGATTCTGTGGGGTATCTATTTAAAAATTTTGTAAGAGGTAAACGAAAAGGACTCGATATGGAGCGACATGATTTTTCTTCTAAATTTAAAACCATAGGCACCAAACTATCCATAAAATCATTTGCAGATGAAGGTAATAGATGGAATATGTTTAATATTGCAACAATAATTTTAATGTTTTCATTCTCAGTGAGCGGCTTTCCTGCGGTAGATGGCAAAAAACTTGAATCAGCCCATTGTTGGAGATGGTCCAACAATTTTTTACCAATTTCTGGCTTAAAATAACTTTTAAGCAATTCCAGTAATCTTGCTAAACAATCTAATGCAGATACTGTTAATTTTTTAGGATCTGAAAAATTAATTAGAATTGGTCTAACCCCTAATTGTAAAAGATCTTTAGACAATTTGTGTTGTTGTTGAATAACTTGTTGAAGAGCTTTCGTTCCTACTTCAATAATTTCTGGAACATTCATATGTAATGTTTTGAAAAAAATACCAATAATACGTGGCCTAGTAACATTTGGATTATTCCCAGAAAATAATTCATCAGGCAGTGTCATTGCTGCTTTCAACAATTTTAAACATACAATGTGCAGCCGAATCAAAGCATTTGAATTTTTATATGACGGTGATGATGATGATGATGATGATGATGATGATGATGATGATGAATTACGATTCATTAAAGCCTGATCATCTTCAACATCAATTAAAATAACCACCTCGCCAAGTATCCTTGTGAGATCTTCATAATGTTGAGAAGTTATGAAGTGTGGTTGCAAAGTTAAACAATAGGTAATAGCATCAATACGGCCTATTTGCATTGAAACTGGTAAAGCTCTAAGAGGTTGTCCAAAAATTAAATTTATTAATATGTCTTTAGCTTGAGAAAGTAAACTGGAAATAGTTTTTTGAGTCAATTCACTTAAAAGTTTAAATGCTGAATGTATTGTTTCCCTTACAGACTCATTTACATTGCATAATTCTGAAGTTAATGTGATTATAAGCTTATCAAACTTATTTTTTTTATCTGTGAATTCATTAGAATTTTGCATTTCGATATCGTCATCAATCAATGACTGTGAATCTTGCTGTTTGTTACAAATCTCAATGACACGTAAGAGGATTTGTGGTGCATCATCAACACTCCCAGATGCAAATTCAGGAGAAATATGCTTCAATACAAAAAGGAGAGCTTTAACAAATTCAATTTCATGGTCCAACATCCATTTAGTACCCATGTCAAGTTGAGAGCTAATTATAGATATGCCTAAACAACCGCCACTTTTATAAAACCATTCCTGTTGATAACAGCATGAACAAAATCTTGAAGCCAGGAAAAAGAAAAAAGGACAATAACTAATTATTTGTTTTGATCCAGAAATTAATAAACAAGTTTCATAAATAGTTGTCAGAGCTGAACTTGCCAAACTACGTAATTTAAGATTTTCAGATGTGATAGTTTCGATTAAAGCTTCTAACATTGCCTTAGTCTCAAAACTGTATCTTTTATCATCAACATCAAAATTAAGTCTTTCTTTTTTTGCTTTATTAAATTCAATTAGTTCACCAATCTCCAAAAGTGCAAAATGTCGGCAAATATTTTGTAAGAATGGCCAAGAATTTTCTTTAAGCTCAGGCAAAGATGAAGCAACAAATAAAGCACATAAAACATTTTTCAATGTTTCCTCTTGTATGGCTTTCTTTCTTAAAATATTCTTGTGCCCATCTTTGTTGATTTTACTTTTAATTAATTGCTGACTTGATAAATTTTGACTATCTCTAGATGTTTCTATATCTAGATCCATTTTATCATCACCCGAGCTTTTGTCGATTACTATTGATTCTTTATTAATGATAGGGAAAATTTCTTTCTGTAGTTGTGTTCTAATTAATTTTCCTAGATCTTCACTGCCTTCATCTAAATCGAAAAAAAGTGGAATTAATGAAACAATAAATTTATATGCATGTTTTTTGTAAAAGCTAGAAGAGTCGGGGTCTTGTAAAATATCTCCAGCAAGTTTTAGACAATCATTTAATTGCATTGAATATGCAGCAGAATTTGAACTGAAAAAAATCTGCAGATCAATAGTGCTTAATAAAGAGTAATTGGCGTTGAGTTTTGGTGGATCTTTTAAAGTACGACGATTTCGACCTCCAAGTTTCCCTAATATTTGCATGGCTGAGTAGCTATATTTCTGATCATAGGGTGGTGGTTTAAGATGCCTCCAAAGTGCATTCATCAATTCATCAATTACTGGTGCTAATATAGGATCTAAGAAATCTGGAGTCAAATTATCAATACAAAGTTCTAAAGTACGAAGTCCTTGACTAACTAAATCTGGTCCCGCCTGTAATGCTAAAACAAGGGGCTTCATCAAATAATTAAGATATGGGAGGAGTGAGCTCAAACGAACAGGAACTGTAAGACAAAGCTCAACAAACAAATTTTGCATTTGTTGCATTTGTGTTAATGTTAAGAAATTGTTTAATCCCTCTAGTAACATTGGTAATAATGGAGTGACTTCTCTGTACAAATTTTCATATTTACCAGCTGCGAGGCACCTAAAAAGGGTTTTTAAAAGAATAAAATAATTAATTGGTTTTTTGGCCTTTGTGGAAAGTTTCATAGATGATGTAATGATATTTGCAACGTGTGGTTGAAGAATTGCTTCATTATGGCTAGGAAGCTGAGTGAGCGGCTGAAAAATTGATTTAAATAATTTAAGCATAACTGAAGAGTATATTATATCTTCTGCTCCAAGTTTGTCTAACCTATCCACTAAAAATCTCAATAGAATTCCAGAGAAACTATGAGATATAATAATATCAGAAGCTGTTAAAAAATAATGAGGAATTTGATGCAAAGAAGGGTTTTGTAACATCTGTTCAAAAAAAAATTCCATTTGTGATGAAAAAATCTCTTGAAATATTATTGGTTCAACAATAACAAACGCCAATCCAAAATGATCCAATGCCTCTTTTTCCAGTTTAGTAATTTTATTTGCTGTTTCAATTGATAACAATCCTTCAGTAAGTTTTGCTTGTGACACATTATCAAAATTGTCGACATTAAAATAGTCAAAACAACGAATCCCCTCTCTAAACAGTTGAATAAAGATTTCAACTTGTTCTTGAGTAAATCCAGATGTTAAAGAATTACTTTTTTGCATGTTAATGTTATTGTTACGTTGTTTTAACCAATGAATAAGGGGCTTAATGCCCGCTACAAGAGTCCTAAACAAAACACGGCCATCTATTTATAAATTGATTATTTAAAAATTAAGTCAAATAATTAATATATAGGATTTAAATATTTATTAAAACAAACAAATATAGATAGATAGATAGATATTGAAATATCATTTTCACCATTAAGAGGATCAATTTGAATCTCGCTGGTCATGTTTGAATGAATTGGTCGTGCTTGCTCAAAATCAAAATCATCAACATTGGTTGACGAATTATTTTTTGTTGATCGATTATTTAATGAATTATCATTATCATGATCGTGATCATTATTGTCATTATCCTCATCACCATTAATCATTTTCTTTTTTTGATACTGGCGAAGAATGGTAGGAAATAAAATGCTTAAATTCTCAAATTTATTTGCAAAAGTATCTAAAGTTTTAATAAGTATATCTCGAACTTTTTTAATTATTAAATAATTTTAGTTAATACAAATTATAAATAAATAAATAAATAAATAAATAAATATAAATAGATATTAATTTTTTTTTACCATCGAAATTTTCATCTTTAAGAGAATTACTTAAAATAGATTCTATTAAATGTATCAGTAATTTTGCACACATTGTATGAATATTTGGTGTGAAAGTTGGGTCATGCAAAATGCACGAATATATATACACAATTTTTGAAAGTTGTTGAAGTGTAAGCTTATCTTTGATATGATGAAGTAAATCTGCTAACATGCTATATGCTAAAGGTCTAAATGATTTAAAAATTTATTGAATAAAAATTTTTTCTAATAAAAAAATATTAAGACAAATTGATAATAATTTACCTTAATGTATCATAAGCTGTTACACCAGTACCAATAAGTACTTTTTCATTTAAAAGAATATCTAGTTTATTGATAAAACCATTACGAAACTCTGTTGAAAGGATGTGTCGAGTAGCTACCAAAAGTTCCTATAAATTTATTATTTTTGTATTTTTGTTTAATAAATCAAATAAACAAATAAACAAATAAACAAATTAACTTTTAGATGTATTACTTTTCTGGTAGATGATGCCTCTGCAGGACAATCATGAAGAAGACGAATAATAAATTCTGGAACTTGATCTTGATAATGAGATAATTCTGTTGTATAAGCTCTTAAAACGTATGCTAAAAAGGCTAATGTCTAATTAAATAATAATTAAAAAAATGAATTACTATTTTTATTTTTTAAAGAAGGTTTGATTATCCGGTGAATAGTATGTTTCTTAATCATACTTTAACTTGAGCAACGATAAATTCAGTATATTTCACTCTATCTCTTATCCCTGGAGCAACACCAATAAAAATCTCCCCTCTAGCTTTTGCTGATTCATGTGCCTCAGCTTGTGGTCGAGGCTGAAGACTTAATGTCTATTGTTCAAAATGAAATTGGACAAAAAAGTAAAATAATTAATTGCTAAGTATATATTGATTCATTTATTTAAAATAAAAAAAGATAATTATCAGGAGTAATAACAATAAGATAGATACCCTTATAATAAGTGGTAGGAAGTTTAGGATGTTACCATTTACTACATTACGATGTGATTGAAAAATTAGAACAACAATAATAGGACATTCTGTTAAAACTTTGAAACTGTGTAAACTATCAGCTAGTACTTTATTTGGAGTAGGTTCATGTGTTGTTACATCTGGTACCGGTGATGAAGGACGCGGTGACGGTGGAATAGGTGCAGATGATTGCACTGGCTGTAATGAACATGTAATATAGTAAATAATTTTGAAGAAGCAACATATTACATATATGTAAGGTTTTTTTGAATTACCGTACTGGCACTAGGTGTTGCAGCAGCAGTTCCAGGAGTGTCAAAGGCATCTCTTACTGTTTGTTCCATATTTTCATACATTAATTTTACAATATCTAAAAATGGTTGAACCTGATCTTCAAGTAAAGGTTTATAACCTCTATGTAAATCTATAATTATTTTTAAACATATTACAGCATTATCTTCATTTTCTTTTTTTAATAAATTCATTACAAGTTTCAATAAATCGGGCGCAAAGGGCCTAAGTGAATCATTTTGTGGTAATCTATGTAAAATTTCTAAGTAAATGTTGCGTAATTTCTACAAGAAAAAAAAAGAAAATTAATGGATTTTTTTTTTTTTTAAGAAAGACCTGATATTGAATTCAATAGATTTTTAAATAATTACTTGTTCTTCTGAGTTGCTGTCAAATACCGGTGGTTCATTTTGAAGCGTATTATTTAAAACTGGCATTAAATAATGTAAAAAACGAGGATAATCTGAATTTTGATACATTTCAATAGAATCCCTCAAATTTGTAGCAATTAACAATTTTGTTTTGAAATCTTGATTAAATGGAAGGAGAAAAAACAATAGTTCAAAAATTGGATCAAACTGGTGAAAAAGAATTAAAAATTTTTTTTTACAAACTTATTTTTGGATCCGTTAGCCTTGAAGCATATAGATCAGGTGAATAAGATTCATAACTCGACATATTAAATGAAAGTTTAAAACTATCTTGTTAAATTGTTATTTTTTATAAACAAAATTTCAATGAAAAACGTTTATGGAAGAATATTTTTATTTTTATTTTTATTTTTTGAATTTTTTGGGGAATTGAGTCGAGAATTCCAAATTTTAAACACGTGACCACAAAACAAACATTGTGAATATGTGGTATGTTACAGTTTAGAAACTTTTTTTATCAAGTTCAGCAGCTTATTCTTAACAGGACATTTTTTGATTAGAATCCAGAGAGGATATGTTATTAAATAATAATAATAATAATGATGGTGGAGCATTAATGTTATCAATGAAGAAGGTGCGAGTTGTGATTTTAAATAGAATCTCTAAATTTATTTGTCTTTTAAGTGTCATAAACGCGCCATGCTTTTTTGGATGAATTATAAAAGTATCGATTGTTTAAACAAGAGTCATGAGCTATTCATTACCTAGTAAAGATTTGATTGCTGATTCAATTAAAACTATAGGTAAACAAAATGATGATTATGATGATGATACAATATAACGGCATTTAAGCAACAATTTATGTAATAATATTTATTTATAAGGTGATGGGTGGTCAATGGTACGATGCTAATATATCATTGCCAGGATGTGACAAAAATATGCCAGGTTGTTTAATGGCAATTTGGTAGGATTAACAGGCCTTCGTTAATGGTTTATGGTGAAACGATCAAACCAGGTCAAAGTACTTGTGTATTGGGTAAATTGGATATCGTATCAGCGTTTCAAGTATATGGCAGTTATATTTCTGACAAGATTAATGAAGAAGAAAGATTGACATTATAAGAAATTCTTGTCCTGGTCCCGGTGCATGTGGTGGAATGTATACTGCAAGCTATTGTTTTTTTGATGCATGGGGCGCAGAAAACAGAAACGTGATATTTTCCGAAAATAATAGCGATTTTCTCAAAATCCTGATTCTCGGAGCCCTTGTGACTAATTGCATATAGGGTGCTACTGACTCAAGATCGGAATTATATATACATATATAATAAAATATTTACGTGTTAATAATACATGTGATTAATAGTGGCATCAACAATAGAAGCGATGAGAATGACTATCTTATTCATAATCGATACCTGCAGAATATCCTGAAAAAAAGAAGAATGCTTGTCAGCAGGGAGAAGCAATTCATAACTTGTTAGAAAAAGACATAAAACCATCTGATATCATGACAAAAAAATCCTTTGAAAATACTATTGTGTTAACAATGATACTTTGAGGGTCTACAAATACTGTTCTACATTTGATTGCTATTGCTAAAACTGTTGGCATTGAATTGACATTGGACAATTTTCAAAAAATTAGTGATGATACCCGTTTTTGGCAAATCTAAAACCAAGGTATTTGTTGGAAAAAATTTAGCAGAAAACCTATCATCAATTACACCACTTTCATTTGACAATCAAAATATAATAAATCTGCTGGTTAAACCAATCAAATCAACGGGTCATATACATATTCTTAAAAGTAATTTGGCACCTGAAGGTTCTGTGGCAAAATTACTGGTAAAGAAGGTTTGGCATTTAATGGCAAAGCAAAAGTTTTTGATGGTGAAGAAGATATGTTAAAAGTATTGGGAAAAAATAAAATTAAGAAAGGTCATGTCATAATTATAAGGTATGAAGGCCCTAAAGGAGGTCCTGGAATGCCTGAAATGTGTAAGCGGAATCGAGTTATATGAATTCACTTTTTATATATATGTGTGCGTTATATGTATTAATTTTATTATTATTGCAAAAATTAAATTTGTTATGTAGTGACTTCAACTAGTGCTATTATGGGTGCAGGACTTGGTAACAATGTTGCATTATTAACAGATGGAAGATTTTCAGGCGGCTGCCATGTAAGTACAATTAGGAAAAAATACGATATCTATCTATTTATCCATACTTAATATTTAAAATTTATGAATATAGGGATTTATAATAGGGCATATTACACCTGAAGCACAATTGGGTGGCCCAATAGCATTAGTGAAAGATGATGATGAAATTGTTGTAAATGCAGAGAATAAATCTATTGATGTTGATGTTAGTGATAATGAGCTTGAAGAAAGACGTAGAATATGGAAAGCCCCTCCTTACAAATTTACTAAAGGAACTTTATACAAATACATCAAAAATGTTAAATCAGCTACTGAAGGCTGCATTATTGATGAATAAAAAACATTAATTTTATATTTATTTATATTAACATTAATTTGCATATATTCATTTCTGCCAGCTTTTATCTTGTCGTTTTTTATTTTTAACAAAATCAATTTTCATCCTGACACTTTTATTTATGTTTTCTCATGTGCAACTTCAAATCTATCAAATTGCCGGATGACATCCATGAAAGTTTTATCAATTCTTTCACAAATTGAAATAAATGTTACCATAATCCAAATCCAAATGTATGATACATGGAAATATCCCTATCAATTTGTTCATATCGCATGTTATTAATACAGGACGTTTGATATTGCTCATGCAATAATTTCAGCACCGTGCACTTACAGTAAGAGTTTCGGAGAGCTTCAAGGGCTCTACAATCATTTATTAGAATTTTTATGGTAGGATTGCTCATTTGAAAAACCTGTTCTATATATACTGTTACCTCGATGATTTCAAAGAAGCAATTGGCAAATATTCGGTTGGGTCAGTGACGGCAAATGTAAGATCTGCATGCAATATACCTGTTTGGCTGAGTAACTCAAATGAGCATTTGGCTAAACTGACTAAACTACTTAGTCATATGTTAAGTTTCAAGTTTAGTCAAGATGATTATTACTAAATTAGGTTTTTAACCCTTTACTATATATTACACTGCCAACCATGGTTATATAAATATGTAGTACAAAATAAAAATAATAAGAGTAGCCCATAATAATAAAAATATATATATAAAATTTAATATGGAATTAGATTTTGATGATTTGGTTAATCTTGAAACAATGTATGTTAGTTAATTAGATAATTATATAATTAGACAATTAATTTATAATTTTAACATAATATGATATAAATATTACAAATATGTCAGGTTTATAGAAATAGGTAAAGAGGATGGTATAAAAGCAGGATTTAATTCAGGAAAATTAGAAGGCTATGTTCTTGGATGTGAAAAAGGATTTGAAATTTCGCAAGAAATTGGATTCTATAATGGCGTGACTGAAATTTGGTTGAAATTCATTGTTGGTTTAGATGATTCTTCTAATCTTTTGCCAAATGTTAATAATAAACGGTAATGTTTATCTAAATAAGGTCTGTTAAACTATAATGAATATAATATATGTATGTGTATATGTATATACGTTTTTTAGAATAATTAAAGAACTGGAATCACTTCGTGAATTGATCTCGACTTTTCCAATTGAAAATCAACAAAATATCGAATTTTTGGATTTATTAAATAAAATCAGATCCAAATTTAAAGTTTGTGCTTCTCTTTTAGGCATCACAAACTTACAAAAATTCAATAACAATATAACATGATTAAATTTTATTATCGTCTTTATTACTAATTAATTAATATTTAATTACTTTGTCACCTTTATCAATGTCATTATCAACTTTATCATCATCTTGTTGCCTTTGTTGCGAAGTTAAAGATGACGACAATGTTATAAAGTATTTACACTTTTTAGGTTTGAAATTTTCACAAATTCCAATCATAAAATATATAGTTTTAGTTCCTATAGTACAATGTATATAAAGAAAAGAATCACACGTGTCTCAATTATAGGACCTAAATGCATTCACTGTGCATTTACAGTTATCTTGTCAAGATCATTTTTGTAGAATGTCATGTTCTTTTAAAAATTAAGAAGTTAACTCCATTTCAGTAATAGAATTACTTTTTGCAAAACATGGATTTATTAAAAAATTATTGCTACAATTACACATAATCAACCAATTGATTGCAATCTTTTGTATTATCTGTTCTCTCCTCTTGATGGCAGATATCTTTTGTGAGTGCAGTTTACATGTAACAAACTTTAATCCATATTAACACAATGAGATTAACAAAGACAATATGAAAATCCTTGTTTGTAATCAAACCAGTGCTGATTTTTCGTCAAGGATTCAGATCAGGAATGATATTATTCCATTATGTGTTGTTGCCTATAGTGTCAATTCAATAATCATACTGTGTATAACATCAGCACACAACTAATACTAGTGACCCACTATTAAATAGATTGCATAATCCTTACTGTTTGTGAGTAATGTATCTGGGCACACAATGTTAATCTAATACTGTTTCCACTGCCATTTGTGTGATTGCTAATTATTATAATAACAACGACGACTATTTCCTTTTGATGATTCATAACCTCTATTCCATGTGTGTTTATTGTTCTTTCTTAATTTTTTTTGCGACTATTCATTAAAAGTGAATAACAACAACTCTATTCTTGATGCATAAAAAATATAAAATTATAGTAAAGCCTTTTGTTCTTTAAGTTTTTCACTGATGCAGGCATTGTGCTAAATTTGGTCTTTTTTTATTGAGAATTTCTTTTAAAAAGCTTCAAGTTTTAAACTGCCCATCATCATGGACGATCTATTCTTGTTGATTAATGCTACTAATATCATTTGATTTAATAAACCTATATACTTAATGTAAATTACCTGATGCATTAATCTAGGTCTATTAAAGAAGCAACCTTGTGTTATCTATCTATTGCCTATAAAAAACCTAACTACAGTCAACCCTCCATAAGTGCACCCCTCTTGGGACCAGGCGAGACCGTGCACTTATGGAGGGGTGAACTTATAGAACAAAAGTATTTTATTGGTTACACGTGACACTAATGAAAAATTAAAAAAATTTTTATTTATAAAATTATTACAATACAAAAATTAAAAATAGCATCAATTAAGATTGCTTTAGGTTGGTAATTTTGGTGCTAAGTATTTCCCTACTTTTTTGTATAGTTCTAGTTATTGTTGATTCATGAACTGTAACCCCCATTTT